TGTATGGCCAGCCTGACTGAGTGGAGACTAGACACTATTCATATTGAGCAGTGAATTCTAACTTCAGTAGTACTCCTGATGGCATTTGAAATATCCAGGTTCAAACTTGTTCCTGCATATCTAAACTAGTGCAGGTAACATTAAAAATCACCTGCATCAGACAGGTTTTAGCTGTCTTTTCATTCAGACTTTTAGAAGTAAAATATAAAAACTGTTCACAAATCATTGCCATTATTTCTTTCCACAGGTAACACCCAAACATGCACCAATACCGGTATAGGTAACAATGAAAATTACCTGAACCAGACAATTTCTACTCGCACCACTCAAATTCAAACTCAAACTGCACCAAAAACTGTCAAGAAACCATTGCCACCATTTCTTTAATATTACATAGGTGTTAGCAGCAAACAAAATCCACATAAACCTACATGTACATATGTACTGTGTAGACCCAGTACATGGACCAGTGCAGGTTAGGTGCAGGTAGACATCAGAAATACCTTCACAGCTCCAATTATACCTGTAAAAACCTGCATATACCAAGTACATGGACCAGTGCAGGTTAGGTGCAGGTACTAGTAGACATCAGAAATACCTGCATGGCTCCAATTTACCTGCACTAAGGATGCACGGTTAATCTATTTACTGAAATACACCTGAATACACAAAGGAGGGCAGGGCTTGAAATATTGGGTGAAAGTGCACCTTAGTGCACCCAAATTTGGAGCTATGCACACAATTTTTTCTGTGGGTGCACCATTGCACCCAAATATTTTCTTAGGTTTATGTAATTTAGATGTTAAATGTACAGTACTTACAACATATTCTTGACATCTAAGTGTCAGATAATACAATCATTGTTATTGTTGCTTTTGCACGTCAGGAATCACCACAGATTCAGTGTATTTCCAGTTGATTTATTCTACGTCTAAGGTTAGTGGGTACAGTGCTCAATGCCGTCCAGATGGTAAAGAGATCGAGTCTCTGGTCTCAGCGTTACTTGGCAGGATGGGCTATACTATTACAATGTGTAGGGGTGTTATCTGTATTCTTACTTCGTGTAACATCCCCTTTCTTTACAAAAGATGTTAGTTCCTTTCTCTTTAAGTTTCATGCATTATCAATCTTAACTGGCATGCATTATCAATCTTAACTGGCATGCATTATCAATCTTAACTGGCATGCATTATCACTAAACTAGAAATCTATCAGAGTCCAGTGTTCGTATTTGTTGTCCATTCTCAGGTTACAGTTCGTTCACAAGTTCAAACGATCTGGTTCCTTGACCGTTCGACCGGATCGCGTGACGTACGGCGTTGTTGCTGTTGTTTCTGCTGTCGACTCTGGTGTTGCTGGAGCTGTTGTTTCCTCATCTGTTGAATGTTTTGGTTCTTCTGTCGTTTTGCGGATGTGTTTTCGGTTTCTCCTGTACTTGGCTCCGTCGACTTCTACTTCGTACGATCTCGGCGACACACGCTCTACAAGTGTGCCACTCCTCCACTCGGCCGTTTTCCGGTTTGGTGCCACTTCTACTCGCACCTGCTGTCCCGGCTGCAGTGGTGGAAGACTTCGTGCTCCCTCGTCGTAGCGCATGGCTTTTCTCTCTGTGATGCTGTGGGGTACGTCCTGTACCACCTTCGGCTCCAGTGCTTTTGTCATTATTGGTACTGGTGTTCTTGTTCTCCTGGACATGAGCCTTTGTGCTGGGCTACTGTCCTGTCCCTGTGTTGGCGTATTCCGCCATCCTAAGATGGAGATCCAGGGATCTTTTCCATCTGCCGCTGCCTTTTTCAACAGGTTCTTGGCTATTTTTACTGCTGATTCAGCCTTTCCATTTGATTGGCTGTGGTACGGGGAAGTTGTTACATGTCTGAAGTTCCAGGTCTTTGCGAATTCCTTCAACTCTTCTGATGCAAACTGGGGTCCGTTGTCGGTGACAACTTCCATGGGTATTCCATGTCTGCTGAAGTTCTGCTTGCATTTGTGTATCACATTCCTGGCTGTGGTATTCTGGTGAAGCTCGTCTAGCTCCCAGTAGTCTGAGTAGTTATCTACTGTTACCAGGTAGTGTTGGTTTCCCAGTGTCATCAGGTCCATCAACACTCTGCTCCATGGCGTCGTTGGAGTTGGATGCGGCATGAGCGGTTCCCTCTGCAGTTGTGCACTCATCCCTGGCCAGAATATGGTTTCTCTGGCTCGTCTGATACATGCTTCTGCTCCTTGGTGGCTGGCATGTGTCTTCTGTATCATCTCTTCTCGCAGCTCTGCTGGGATGACTATCGCTTGTCCCTTGTATATGATGTCATCGTGCATGCTGATTTCATCTCTGAATGTCCAGTAGTCTCGGATTTCTTTCTTCAGCTGCGTTTTATTGTCTGGCCATCCCTTCTTGATGGTCTTCTTCACTTCTTGCATGACTTCGTCTCGCTGAGTGTGTAGACGCACACGGTCTAATGTCATATCGGACACTCGGATGTACTCAGCGGGTTTCACTTCTTCAATTTCTCGATCCTCTCTCTCTGCTTCTTGGATCTTGAGTATCTCATACTCGTCTCGCCTCGTCTTGCTCTCTGTCTGCGTCAGGTATGCTCTTGATAGCGTGTCAGCTATGTGCATCTCTGTTCCTTTGCGGTATGTCACCTTCAGGTGATATTTCTGCAGACGCAGGAGCATTCGTTGCAGCCTCTTCGGTGCGTCAAGGAGAGGCTTCTTGAAGATCACTTCCAAAGGCTTGTGATCTGATTGTACAGTTACCACTTCTCGGCCGTGGATGTACTGGTTGAACTTCTGTGCTGCAAAGACAATTGCTAAGCACTCTTTCTCTATCTGTGCATAGTTCTGTTCTGTCGGGGTTAGAGCTCGCGAAGCATACGCTACCGGGCGTCCTTCCTGCAGGAGCGCCGCTCCAAGTCCCTTGTCACTTGCATCTCCCTGTATGGTCACCTCTTTCTCTACGTCGTAGTATTGTAGTATTGGCTGTGCTGTCACCAGCTTCTTGATCTCTTCCACTGCTTGGTCATGTACAGGTAACCATGCCCATATGGCATCTTTGTCGGTCAGTCGACGCAGTGGTTCACAAACATCGGACAGATGTGGTAGGAACTTCGCCAAGTAGTTCACCATACCAAGCAGTCGTTGTACAGCTCTGACATCGTCAGGCGTTGGCATTTTCCCAATGGCCTTAACCTTCTCTGGGTCTGGTCGCAGGCCTCTTGCTGTGAGGAGCTGCCCCATGTAGGGTACTTGCTTCAGTTTTAGTCTCATCTTCCTCTTGTTCAGTTTGAGATTGCTCTCTCGCGCTCGCTCGAGCAGTCGGCTAAGGTTCACGTCATGGTCTCGGTCGGCTTCTTCGTCTGTGTCGCCACAACCAAACACTAGGATGTCGTCTGCTATGACATCTACACCTTGGAGACCTTCTAGCACTTCGTGCTGTCTTCTCTGGTATTCCTCTGGAGCCGTTGAAATCCCAAAGGGCATTCTCAGCCATCGGAATCTCCCGAATGGCGTCCCAAACGTCGTGAGATAGCTGCTTTCTTCATCTAATTTTACTTGCCAGAATCCGTCTTTGGCATCGAGTACTGAGAACACTTTGGCCTTGGCGAGCCTTGGCAGTACTTCTTCTAGTGTTGGTATCTGATACTTCGGTCGGTGGAGTGCCATGTTGAGATCCTTGGGATCTAAGCAGATCCTCATCTTCCCTGGCTTTTTGACTACCACCATACTGGAGATCCAGTCTGTAGGTTTTGTGACTCTGGCGATCACGTTCTTCCTCTCTAATTCTTTGATCTTCGCTTTTAGTTCTGCTTTCAGAGGAACTGGGACGCGTCTGGGTAGATGTTGGACTGGCTTGACACCCTTGTCAATCTCTATGTGGTACTCTCCAGGTAGGCATCCCAATCCTTCCAAGACATCGGCGTATTTCTCTACTATCTGTTCTGTGGTGCTGACTTGGTTGACCGTGTTGGGGGTGATCAGTCCTAACATGGTGCATGTTTCAGCTGATAGTAGAGGACTCTGACGTGTCTTGACAATCTGGAACTCCAGGTCAATGACCTTGCCTTGATGTCTCGTCTTCAGGACTACTTGGCCTATTGGCTTCAGGATAGAACCGTCGTGCAGCTTCAGTCTTGCCCTGCTTGGCGTCGTCCTCTGTCCATACTTCTTGAAGTCAGCTTCGCTGATTACATTGCAAGTGGCTCCGGTGTCGATCTGACAGCGTAGTGTTTTTCCCTCGCTCATCCTCAGGTCGACGTACCATTTCTTGTCATTGCATGACACTGTACCCACAGTGTATACTTCTTCGTCCTCTTCTGCCACGTTGCCTTGTATCATGTGTATCTTCTTGCTGCCTTCTTTGCAAACCCTGGCGAAGTGATTGGGCTTATCACACTTCGCGCATTTCTTTCCAAATGCTGGGCATTTACTCTTGTCTTTAGCATGGTATTTTCCACAGTAACCACAGTTGGATTCTGGCATCTGCGTCCTTCTGTGTGGCTGCTTAAACTTCGTCTTGGCTTGGCCTTGGCTTCGACTTGGCCTTGTCTTGGCATAATGCACGGTCTCTGCCCCATTGCTCTGCATGGCCTTGAGTTGCTTGTTCGTTGTCTCACTGGCCTTACATTCTTCTAGTGCTGCTTGTAATGTGAGATTCTTCTGCTTCAACAGCCGCATTCTCACTTTGTTGTCTCGAACTCCAAGCACGATTCGGTCTCGCAGCATCTCATCCTTCAGAGCGCCATACTCACACGTTGACACTAACTTCCTCAGGCGTGCCACGTACGCTTCGATGCTTTCTCCCTGGGCTTGTTCACATGTATTGAATTTGTATCTCTCATACACAGTATTCTTCAAGGGCTTGAAGTGCTTATCTAAGGCTTCTATAATCTTATCGGGGTCTTGCCTGGGGTCTACGTTTGGCTGATTTGGGTCGGCTGGAATATCTAAGTTCCTTAGAATGTCCAAGCAATCTCTACCAATCACGGTCTTCAGTGTTGCTACTCGGATTTCCTTTGGTTTCTTGTTCTTCTCTGTAGCAATCTCATAGCTGGCCCATTCATCTTTGAAAATTTCCCAGTTTTGCGCAACATCCCCTGTCAGTTCCATGGGCTTTGGTACTGGTAGCAGTCGGTTGTCTGCCATTTTTATGCCTTGAAAAGTCTTCTTTTTGACCGCCTGCCTGTGTTTGTTTTGATGCTGTCACCTGCCCACACAAAAACTAGACATTGACATATGCTTGTTCCTGGCACCTCTGACCTTAGATCCTTCTTGTTAGCAGAATTCCTACTTGTCAACTTTCCAGACGCTAAGGAATGTGTCCTATTTCCTGGGACACGCTAAAACAATAGAGCCCTTATGCCTACGCATGTGCTTGACTCAGACTGTCTGGAAATTCTTCACAAGTTCTCAATGGAATTTTCTCACAATATTCTATTCCATCAAAGTTCTCTGGTGCTCTTTAGACTAGCATTCTCTGGATGATATCTTGGAAGAAAGACATTAGACATTGGACTTAGCTGTCTCCTTTGAAGACTTTGGCTCTCTCTGTCCTTCCGTCTTGACTTGAGACTGTTTGCTTTCGTCTTCTTCTGTCTTCTTCTGTCTTCTTCTCCTTTTCGGGTCCGTTTTGCCTTTCTCAGTTCTCCTGTACTTGCTGAAGGCCACTTCTTGACACCATGTTGCTTTTGCACGTCAGGAATCACCACAGATTCAGTGCATTTCCAGTTGATTTATTCTACGTCTAAGGTTAGTGGGTACAGTGCTCAATGCCGTCCAGATGGTAAAGAGATCGAGTCTCTGGTCTCAGCGTTACTTGGCAGGATGGGCTATACTATTACAATGTGAAATGAAACATAGTTTCTGCAGACTCTCTACTTCTTTCATCTTATATGTTGCACCTAAATTATTAATTTATTATTTTTTTGCATCCAGTTTCTTATGTTGGGTGCATCTATTCCCAAAAATGAATTTCGAGCCCTGGAGGGTGAAATCTACCAGAATACACTCTACTTTATGAGTTAACATCTCAGGATGCCGTATTTTGATATAAGATTACCTTAATACGTGGCCCAGGGAACATGATATCCCTAGAAATTACTGAGTGGCAATCTGACGTGGCCAGTCATCATGTTTGTTTTTGTTGTGAATAAACTTAAGAAATTAAAAGATAACATTGCATGTTGCTACATAGCGGCAAATTGGCATAGAATAACATAAGTGCATTGTATGTGAGCCTGCTGGGAATAACACAAGAAATTACTGGGTCAAACCAGCTTGTGGCAATAAAACATGGCAACTACTAGCAAGGTTGCCATCGCCTAGCCTCCTTTTTAGGCGTTCCCAGATAGGTCATTTTTTTCGGGGGGGGGGTGGATCAAACGTAGATCGCACACAAAAGAAGCTCCGGCAATATACATCACATATATCTCGTGGAACCACGGAGATATTTGTAGGAGTGCCTGCTGGAGCTAGTGAATCCACTGATCTCTTGGCCATATGTCCGAGGTTATCTTATCCCAAAATACAGCAACTTGGGATCAAAGCATAGTGTATTCCGGTAGATTAAACCTTCCTGGGGGCGGGGGGGGGTAGCCTGGAGTCCAGCCTTGTTAGCTGGGTAGCGGATCTTGCGGAGCGGACCAAAGCTAACAAGGCTGGCCTCCAGGCTAGCGGCGGAGTGCTTTTGGTGAGCCTTTTTTCAGACTGGGTTGTTGTTTTTTCATCTCCTGGACTGGACGAGTTTTTCCGCAAACCCATGTCGGCCACCATTATTATTATGTCGGGTATGGGGAGGGGGGCACTATGCTCTGGTCTGAAATTTGAAGGACGCTGGACCAGAAAAAAACCGATACGAATCAAGACAAAAGGAAAATACAGATTTCCTACCCCCCAAACAGCAAAAAAGCCCCGGTAGTAGCATGGAGGTTTCTACCTCCACGATAGTAGTACTATGGGCTCCCCTCCCCATCGACCGTACATGTAAGTTATGACGTTTCGGCGTCCTTACCTGTGAACAAACTGCGGAGAACTTGTCTAAATAACTGTGCACACCCTGAAGGTAAAGTGCTCGGTGTTCACCACCTCAAACATTGCAGATTTCTGACCTTTTAACGAAAATGCATGCGTATTGCAAACACCAACACGCCAGCTAGGGGAAACGGCGTACTGCCCGGCTCACGTAATCCTCGGCGTGTTACGTCACGGTAGCTCATCACGACAGACACTGCAGGGATGGTATGATCTTCGCTTGTATGCACCGTGAGATATACCTTGAGGTACAGAAGTAGTACCTTACACCGATAACAAGCAATGGATCATGTCCGTGATTATATGCTAATAAGATATAATCGTGGCCGTATCGGGTGAGTGGAGAGGTACCCCTCCGGTTGCCGGCAGTCCACCGGGATACATTTGTTACGTCACAGACCATATAAACAGAATTACGGTGTGTACTTCGTAAACCCGGGTTGAATGTGTGACGTCACAGATAAAATGATCACAACAAAAGCGTGAATTCTGCATTACGTATAGGTCAGTACAAGACACATCGTCAGATAATCTGCCGGGTACCTAACGGGTGCCTGTCGGAGACCGACCAAAGAGGGTGACAAAATTTTTAACAAAATGCTACTGTAGGAAATTTTAATTGTGACCACGACAGCTGATGGCCGCCCGACTCCTGAGCCCGACCGGGACCGGCAGGGCTACATCCCCGACGAGCACTTGCGTAATTGGGACCAAAGCTTTAATTAACAAAGTTATGATGCCAAAATTTGAAAATGTAGTAGTAATCTTGTTTTTGACCCGCCATGTCTTTTTTAAATATGGAGTCCGTGGAGGATGCCATCCATAGAATCTACTTGTTATTGTCCTTAGGAGATAAAACTTATGTTTGTCTGAATTGTTTGAATGCAAGAAATGTCCAACCTCGTCGGCAATGGTTATTTTATCTATAGAGATTAATGCGCGATATTGATGATTTATCATACACATTACAGCATACTGGACAATTACACTGCATATACTCTAAGCTTTGTTAAAAAATAATACACATTTAGATTCCAGCAGAATCCGTCTTGTCGGAGGTTCCAGTCGGAAAGAAGGACGTGTGGAAGTCCGACAGGCCGACAGTATGACCTGGGGCACAGTTTGTCACAACCAGTTTGACATAAAGGATGCAGACGTTGTTTGCAAAATGCTCCGCTACCCCAGTGCCCAACTAGTTCGCAATGATGCGTATTTTGGCCCAGGTGAGATTTACCTTGTTTCAACTAATTTTCCTGTTATGTACTAAGTAAAAAGGAAGCAACATGATCTTATAT